GTCTGCCTTTATGGTCAGAAACAGCATTTTGTTTCACTCGAATTTTTGGAGGAATGAATCCAGTAAATAAGTATGTTTCTGCAACACTGTTCTTTAGTTGTTTTTGTCGTTGTTTTCCTCCTTCTCATAAGCTAGGTCAGAATCCTGAGAACTCAAACAAACATGGACCACTTAAGAATGAGTTCTTAATTTGTTGTTGAATGCTATGCGAATTAGATTATAAATTGTATTCCTACATAAGCATAAAGGGAATGTATCTTCAGAAAACAGATGGAAATCATGTATTAAAAAGATTCAGAGTATTTGTCCTAAATTAAGTTGAAAATTAAAATTAGCAAAATAGTTATGAGAGTCCCAACATGAAGAATTAATTGGAATTTAATGGTATAATCTTAGCAGTGGGAAAAGACATAATAACATTCTTTTAAACCTTTGTTATAGTTCCTTGTAATTTTGCCTCAACCATAGCATCCAAGAAAGCTGTGCAGTCCATTTCATGAATCAGAATCCAATTATTTTATATTGGTTTATGTTTCTACCCGAGAGATTCATAAATTGTTTTTAATCACTTCTTTTATTTTAAATCAATAGTGCCTACCAAGTGGGTAGCATTTCCCAGTAAAACACTACCTCCTATAATTGGTATAATTACTTCATAAAGAGATAAACTACAGCACAATTTGACACTCTGGGTTTATAAAATCTAATTATATTCACAATATAATATTTTATTTTTAGCAATCTCAAAACGACATAAACTTGAACAAAGCCTGGACATTTATGATAAAGTAATTGGAAAGGAGCAAGTTAATTATTGCACATAGTACGGCCTCTATTAACAGCCTCTGAGAGAAACTTCCTTTTTACAAAATCATTCAGAATAAGGGGAGGTTTAGGGGAAGTCTTGTCTCCTTAGCTTGAGTTGACAGCCTGTGACTGAGAGAGAGTGAGGTACAATCCTTAGGTGAAGTTACCAGGTATGGAAGCATTAACCTTCCTGGCTGCATTTTCATAACACATTTGTAAGCTGCTTCAGAGACATCTGCAAAGAAAGAGAGATAGCCCTCAATCTCTGCTTTAACAGGAGGTTTGCTTTTATCTATCTTACACTTCGGGATTCTGCAACAGATTTCATTTAGAGAAACTGGATTAATTGCTAACATTAGTTCTTGAAAACCTCTGAGCTATGCCATAGTCACGTGACACCTCCATGTCAATGGAAGAATGACTAAGTCAACAAAAGGAGCTAGGAACACTCTTTGATGCAGGAAGGACAAGCAACAACACACAGTACCTGACAATCACATCCTAAACTTGCAAGCCTTTGGTAAAAAGAAAAGCTTCTAATTTTGAAAGGTTAAAGATAAACACAAACAAACCAAGAAACATACCTAACTAAAATTCTGTTGTGCATCCCCCTATTGATTCTGTTTAAGAAGACAATGAAAAAGGAAAAGAGACCAGAAGAGAAAGAAATGGGAGCCAGGATAGACAGAAAGGCCAGGTAGCAGAACAAAAATGAAGAAGTTGAAGGTAGAACGGGAAAGTTAGAGGCAGAAAGTGTTATAAAAGAATTTTTAGAAGTTGTACTACACAAGTAGAGTCCTGGTGTGGTGCTGTGGGTTAATGCACTGGACTACAAAGTTGGTTTGAACTGCAGGGTCTGTGGTTCAAGCTCACCAGTTGCCCCAAGGAGCCCTATACAGGATTGCTATGGGTGGAAACCTACTCGATGGCACTTAACAACAACAATACAAGTAGGTTATGGCAGCACAGCTCTTTCCTGTGTGTCCACGTGAACAAGATCTTTAGTTAGATCCACACGCTAGCTGATGCTTTTATGTTTTGAAGAGGATGAAATGAGCCTAACTTTCAGGCTTAGGGGAGTGGAGCAGTAGAAAAGATTGTCTACGGGAATCTCCTGTTTCATCTGGGATGAAAACCTCATCAAGACAAGCTCATAGACTGGCATAGGTTTATGCCACCTTCATTCACTTATTACCAATTTACCTAAATTAAGAACCTTGAAGTTACCCCTGAGCCCTTTTTCTTTGATGCCACAAGCTATCTATATCTGGAGTTTGGCCCATTTTCTCTATCTCAATTACAGTTGCCAGCAATTCAAGCCATATTCAGAAGAAGATATGAAACAAAGAAAATCATTGTTGATGTCAGTTGAGTTTTGGCTCAAAGTCAGAAAGGTGTTTGCCTGTGTTTTTATTGACTAAGCAAACGTATTTGATCATGTGGATCGGAACAAATTATGGATAGCATTGAGAATAATGTGAATTCCAAAACACTTAATTGTGCTCATGTAAAACCTGCACATAGCCCAAGAGGTAATGGTTCAAACAGAATAAAGGATCCTGCATGATTTAAAATCAAGGAAGTTGTGTGTCAGGGTACATTGGTAATGATCACACTGGGACAACAAACAACACCAGGGCAAATTAAAATAGAGCTCTGGTAGCGTAGTGGTTTTGAATTGGGCTGTGAACCATAAGGTCAGCAGCTCGAAACTACCAGCTGCTCTGCGGGAGAAAAATGAGGCATTCTGCTCCCATAAAGATTCACAGCCTTGGAAACCCTGTTCAGAGTTGCTATGGGTCGGAACCAACTCTATGGCACTTAACAACAACAACAAAAGATCATAGAAACCACTCTTAGTGTTTTTTTACAGAAAACTAAACAAAATAGCCTGCTCATATTAAACATATGGTAGGCAAGTGATTATATTTGATAACTGATTGATTTCTTATAATAAAATGAATGTACTAAATCTGAATACAAATTATTACTGTTGGAAACTATAAGAACAGAAAGAGAAATTTAGTTAGTAACCTACCCTATTTTCAAATTGTTCTGATCACTGGATTTTTTTTTCCCCTTGACCAAACAAATTAATCAGAACAGTAAAATCTGATGGGTACCTTTTCTTGGTTTAAAATGTGCATTTCATATTTTTAGGGTCATCCACATTTCACTATTGATCTAGTTGGCAGATAGATTTCATCTCCAGTTCAAGCCCTTGTTGATTGTGATCATAGATTGTGTTGAAAGGATTGGGAAGCCACCTTTGGCTCAGCATAAAGGCTGATCAGTTAATGATGTTTGCTCGCACATTGGACTGTGAACAATGGCACGTATGGCAAGTATTTGCCATCCCAGACTTGGACAGCATCTGTTTTAACAATAATTTTCTGACATACATGTAATACCTGGCTGATTAAAAAAAATTACACTTTGCTGGTCCTACATCTATTACCTCTGGTGGGTTCTATTATAATGTGAATAATATACCAACTACATCACAGGAAAGCAAGGCTATCCCTCTAAACTTGCATGAAAACAATAGTCTTAAAATTTCCACACATTATTGTTTTACAACTGTTAGTCCAAAATCAAAATAAAGATCAAATCCCTAATACATGAATGGAAAGTGCTGGGAAAATAATATAGCAAATATGCTAAATAATTTCTGGCTGGTTACTATGCTTTACTTATTTTGAACTGTGTCTATCTACTCAGCAGGAGTTTAAGGGACAAAATGAGTGTTAAATTAATTTCTCCCTTTGCAAGCAAATATTAATGAACCAATTGTAAAGAAATGCTCTTAGTGCTTATTTTACCAGCTGTCTTAGTTCTAGGGCTGTTTTGTGGTGGCTGTGCATCTTAGAGTCCATTCCAACCCTTTATGACACAGTAGAACTGACTTATAGAGTTTTCTAACCTGTATTTTTAAGGGTGTCCAAGGAGCTCCAGTAGCGTAGTGGTTACGAATCGGGCTGCAAACCGCAAGGTCAGCAATTTGAAGCTACCAGCTGTTCCGCGGGAGAAAGATGAGGCTTTCTGCTACCATGAAGATTCACAGCCTCAGAAACTCTGTACAGGGCCGCTATGAGTCGGTTCTGACTCCGCGGCACATAGCCACCACTACCACCAAGGAGATGATGGGTTTCAACTGCCAACTTTCCAGTTAGAAGCAGAGTCACTTAACTGTTGCATTACCAACTTTATGTAAGTAAAGACAGATTACTTACATAAACTAAAAATCCATTACCATTAAAGGTGCTTAACTATTGTACCACCAGGGTTCCTTATTCTGTGGTGGTTGTGGTTATGTGCCCTGGAGTTGGGTCCGACTCATAACAACCCTGTATAAGGTTTCTGAGGGTGTAAATCTTTAAAGAAGCAGAAAGTCTTATCTGTCTCCCATGGAATGGCTGGTAGTTTTGAACTGCTGACTTTGAGGTTAGCAGGCCAACTCGTAACCACTAAGCTACCAGAGCTCATTTCCTTCTTCAAGGGCTACTATTAAAACACACACACACACAAAGTGGGTGGCATTAAAGAATAGAAATTTATTTTCTTACAGTCCTAGAATCTAGGGGCCCAAATTAGGATATTGGTCGCATTGATTCCTTCTAAGAAATTTGAAAGAGAAGCTGGTCCCCAACTCTTCTAATTTCTAGCAATCGTTGGCATCAATATCCTTTTCTGGATATAAATGCTTCTGCTTCTGTTTATATTGCATCCTTCTTTCTCCTATGGGTGTGACATCACCGGAAAGGCATTAGGACTGGGATCCACCCTACCCAGTATGACCTTGTTTGATTTAACATAAGGCAAGAAAAATCCTACTTCGAAACAAGGTTACATCTACAAGTTACAAGTTAGAACTGCAACTATCATTTGGGTCTCATGATTTGATCCATAACACCACCACATGTCTTAGGTTATTTATCTTTTCTTCATACAACTGGAAGAGCGTTTTGCACATTGCAATGAAAGAAAATACATAGAAAATACTTGATACCTTAAAAAAAATACATGAGGGATCTCTAATATTGCTGTATTTTTTGTTTGTTTTTTTAACTCCTGTGACCGCAAAGTATGTTCCTTCTTTGGATCTCAATTTCATTTTTGGATAGAGGACAGAATCAAATTTATATTGAAGGGAAGACTGAACTTCATAATGCAGCTTTTCCATATTGATTTGATCATGCAGATTTATTTTTCCTGTTGAAATGTTCCTCCAGAATACTTTGTGGAAAATAAGGATTAATAGATGGCAACTCCTCATTCATGATCCCCAAACAAGAAACAAATTCATCAGGCAGTAGGGTCTGGTCTGGAATAGTTTCATTGGGTGAAGTGTTTCCCAAAAGTATGGTGGTTTCTCCCTCTATTGAGTTTTGCCTGTCATGAGGATTGCATTCTCCTTGATTTAAGATGAGGCTTAATTCTTCAAGGCATAGTGTGTTGCCTAGAGAATTCATACTTGAGACTGAAACAGCAAAACTTGGATACTTTTTAGAGATGGCATTCTTTCCCAGATCCAAGGAACCAACTGGTGTTTTAAGAATTGAAGAATCTGTTTCATTATTATTACTAAGAGGATTTTCTCCAGGAAGAGAGTTTGATATCTGGGGTTTATACCCAGTGTTGAGATCAGGGATGTACACGACTGTAGTATTGGTGAGTAGCGATTCTTGTAGGCAATCTCTCATCTCTTGAGGTCCAGTCTGACTTCCTTTATTGTTATCTGTGAGTGTATGTGCTTCTGGGAAGAAGACTTCTCTTATCTCTGTAATCATGGGATCAGTATATAGGACCTGTTCACTAGGATTATTAGTCACAAATTCACTTTTGTCCTAGGAAGAAAGAAGACATTTTAAAATATATATATTTTTTAAACCCAAATGATATTTAAAGGGGCACACCAGATAATAGAATAAGGACTGGATTTTTGCTTTCTCCTCAATTCTTCTTTGCCCCTCTCTTTTTTCATATTATTTATTTACCGTAGTATTTCCTTCTTTAACCTTTTGTTAGCATGCTCATTTCCAAATCTTTATTAAATTCTCCTGTGAGAAGAATAAAGGAAGGGAATAATGAAAAGAACTTACGTCTTTAGCATATTTTAAAAAATGTGAAGAGAAATGTGCATTTCCTGTAGTAACAGGAAAATACTTTGCTGCTTAAATAAAAAGAAAGGAGAGAAGAAGCCTACTTTGCTTCTATATTGAGTATGAGGCTACAATAAATGCTGTGTGCTGAGGTTCTATGGTGTGCAGTTCTCACAACGTGGATGTTGTTGGGTGACCCATAGGAGTTGAGTGACCACTCCACCTACTCACTGCCATCCCATCAATTCTGACTCATAGTGACTCTATATAGGGTGTCCAAGGCTACAGATCTTTATAGGAACAGAAAGCCTCTTTCTCCTTTGGAGCAGCTGGTAGATTCAAACTGCTGACCTAGTAGTTTGCAGTGCAATGTTTAATTTGTATGAAAGCCTAATGCCTCTTCTGGACAAGAAAGGACTTGAGGCCTCCTAACACATATAATTCCCATCCAACACTGTGATAGAATCATGGTTGCCTTCTGTCTCTTGGGCAGTCAACAAATTCGCACTCCAAAAGATCAACTCTAATCCTAAGAGTGCAGAACAATAAAGCAGTGTGCAGAGTATCTCCAAGTTTCTCCTGCCCTAACGTCTCAAGATAACTTAACAGGTTCTGATTGGGATAGGTGGATATACGTTCAAAGGTCAAATTAAGTAAAGGGTACTAGACAAGCTGCAGATAACGAAGAGTGCCATGTGGCTATGTAAGAGTACCATGTTCTGAGGAAGGAGCATTTTCCTCACTCAGGCTGGCAATTGAGTGGAGGGGCAAGTTAGAATTGAATCATGTCAAAGAAGGATTCAGAAGAGCAACAGGGCTCTCACAGAATGAGGACAATAAAGGAATAACAAAGTCTCAACACAATCAGTTCAGAGACAATTCTTTAAGCTCTAAAGTCCCCATTCCCTAAAATAAGGGATCAAGACAGAATTACTAAATGAAGCTAATATAAAGACTAGTATTAATTTACTATAAGGAGCTCTGGTAACATAGTGGTTATGAATTGGGCTGCTAACCTCAGGGTCATCAGTTTGAAACTACCAGCTGTTCTGTGGGAGAAAGATGAGGCTTTCTGCTCCCGTAAAAATTTACAGCCTTGGAAACCCTGTACAGGGTCACTATGAGTCAGAACCGACTCCACGGCACATAACAACGATGACAATGATTAATTTACTATATTTTGGTTAATAGATACTTGTCTTTAGATTATTAACTGCATACTTAATTACATACTTGTATGTGAACTCAATCATTCTTGATCCTCCCCCCGCCCCCACTGTTGTTGTTGTTGTTGTTATTATTGATTCCAACGTATAGTACTCTCATGTGTTACAGAGTAAACATGCTTTGCAGGGTTTTCTTGGTGGTAATCTTAACGGAAGAAGACCACCAGGCCTATACTTCTGTAGTATCCCTGATGGGTTCGAACAGCCAACCTTTAGGTTGACAGCAGAGAAAAACTGTTTGTGCCACTAAGGAACCTTTCCACCATGATTGAACAAGACGAAACCAACTGTTGTCAATCAGCTCATTTGACCCCAGGTACGTCAGAGTAGAGCTGTGCTTTGTAGGGTGTTCGATGACTGATTTTTTTCAAAATGGATGGTCAGGACTTTCTTCTGAAGCACATGTACAAACTTCAGGCTAGCAGCTGAACTGTTAACCATTTGCACACACACCCTCCCCACCCCACCCCCCCGGGACTTCTTAGTAGGTAGCATTACTACCTCTAGAATCAGTCAGCTGCATCTCGTCCTCACCCTTCCCTATTTCAACTATCAGAAGATAAGGATCCCTCCTCCTGCTGGTGAATCTCTCTACCTTATCCCTTTGGAGCATCCCTTCCCTTCTTCTCTTTCCTCTTTCAGTAATTGTCCTTCTCAAGTCTGCCTGATTTAAAACAAAACTCTCCCAACCTGACAGTGCTCTTGAGCTACTGTTATTCTCCTTCCAAAAATACACAAGACCCCTATGTGTCAGAATAGGCCCTCTGTCCTCTTCTCATCTTGTCCGGACCCATCAAAAGAAGTCTACTTTTTTACTTTTTACTTCCTTTTCTTCCATTCATTCATCAATTGAACCTCTGAGACAGAATCATGAGGGACTGACCACCTCCTTGTCATAGATCAAGGACACTATCACATCTACCTTACAGACCCTCTAATAAAACAGATCCTTGACACCTTGTGCACATCACAGTACTCTCCTGTCTCTGACCCTCCTGTTCAGCCTCCTTCCTGGGCCCATGTCTATTCCCGCCAAAAACACTTCAGTAACTCCGAGTCATCTGTAGCAATAGTTTAGCAAGCAGTTCTTAACCCTGGTGGGGTCAGAGAATTCTTTGAGAAGCTCTAAAATATGCTGATGTCTAGGTTTTCTCTCTCCTCTCAGAAGTTCTGGGATATGGCCTGGGTCTGAAGAGATGCAATGAATACTGTGAACTGCTGCCTTAGAGATTCTTTTGGGGCTGATGATGGAGTTGATTAATGGCCCTCTGGTTTTCTTCTCTCACCAGAACTTAAAACAGATCATCTTTTATTTGTTTTACAAATGTTTTGTTTCCTTACTTAATTTGAACAAAGGGTACTCAGGATGAAACAAACAAACAAAAAAAGTTTGAAAACCAATGGTCAACAGAATGAAGTCTGAATTCCAAAGCAACATTGACTTCTGCAATCTAGTCCAGCATTATTCCGGGCATGCTTATCACCAAAGTTTTCAATAAAGCAACAACCAACATACTGTTCTCACCTCTGTGTCTTTGATTACACTGTCCTCTTCTACTTGAATGTTATCTCCTGAGCAAGTCCTCATCTGTCAAAACATTTCCTCCCTGCTTCCATTACATATTTGGGCTTATACCTGTCACCACACTTACATTGCTACATTTCAATGTTTGGATGCTGTGTCGGTCCCACAGACTGGGTGAGTCCCTTGCAGGTTGGGCCAGAGAAGCAGAAAGTATCAGGAATTCACCTCACAGACACTTTTCCTGTGCATTCTGGACCTGCTCCTCCATTACCAGTAAAGTCCCATATAACCTCAGGGCCTTCCCACTATACTTTTTCTTTGTCAAAATAGAAACCTGTCCCACCAACAGTGACACCATCTGCCACAGTCCCTGATTTAGTCCTTCAATCTCAGGAGGGAAGAAGTGAGCTCCTAAGCTCTATCGGCTCCTAAAACATTTTTCATATAAGAAGAAACTCCTTTGAGTTTTTAAAGTTCAGTCTGCTGCCCTTTTCTGCGCTCTCCCTTTGTCCTCGAAGTCATCTCCCAATTGCTTGGTCACCAAGTGACTCTGACACCTGATCTACAATCTTCTTCTTCATGTCTTCATTCTAAATAACACTTCCTTTCTTGCATCTCATTTTCCACCCCCTCCTCAACTCTACACTCTCATTATTTTTTAAGTATGAGTTGAAATATGAATAATTTTTTTCTACATATATATGCAATATAGTAGTCCTTGGGTGGTAAAAATGATTAATGTGCTCGGCTGCTAACAGAAAGGTTGGTGATTCAAATCTACCCAGAGGTACCTCAAAAGAAAGGCCTGGTGAACATCAGCCATTGAAAACCCTATCCAGCACATTTCTACTCTGACACACATGGGGTCTTCATGAGTTGGAATTGACTTGATGACAGTTTTTATTTACTAACATGTACACATACTTAATGTGTTTGAATGGTTTCATCTGCTACTCAATTTTTGTTTGATGGTGTTTGGTTACCTGTAGTATTTTGAAGACCTTGCTGTTTTCTATATTGGGAATATCTTCATGAAGCCATTTTGGTATGAGCAACAAGATTCTTCTTTTAATTCTTAAAAAAAAAAAAAAAGCAAAAATGAACCATTAAAAATATTTCACTTTTTTTTTTAGGATTGATGAAGGTAATCATAAAGGAGATTAGGAAATCAACCAGGAATGCATAAATAAAAATCAAACTTCCTGAATGTAGGAACAAAGGCATAATGGATTAAATGGTGGGCTACTAACCACAAGGTCAGCAGTTTGAGTCCACCAGCCAATCCTTGAGAGAAAGATGAGATTTTCTGCTCTTATAAAGATTTATAGCCTCAGAAATCATATACAGGGTCACTAAGAATTGGAACCAACTCAACGGCACAAAACCACCACCAAGAAAAGTTAAGTGAGAAGTTGAGTCAATATCTTTTCAAAGTGTCCCTTTCACTGTCTCTATCACTCTTTTTTCTAAAGAGAAGAACAGTTTCAATGAACTCATATGAAATTCAACATAACACTCTTGCTAGTAAAACTGTGCATATGCTAAACATGGAAAACCATTATAAGCAGATGTCAGTGTGGCAAGCTGGAAAAACAGGGATTTTTTTTTTTTTTTTTAGAGCTAACAAAGGTGGTTATAACAACAGAAAGTTACTAAAGAAGAGAATGTTATATAGTAAACCCCTATCATCTGATCTCCTCTAATTATAAATCTATAATCATTCTTAATAAGGAGCTCTGGTAGCGTAGTGGTTACGAATCGGGCTGCGAACCTTAAGGTCAGCAGTTCGAAACTACCAGATGCACCGCGGGAGAAAGATGAGGATTTCTACTCCCATAAAGATTTACACCCTCGGAAACCCTGTACAGGGTCGCTATGGGTCAGAAACGACTCGATGGCACATAACAACAACAACAATCATTCTTAATAGGGACATAATGATAATCATGGATCCAGAATTTCTTTACACTGATGGAGTAAAGGTTGGGATTTATCTTCCAGTTGAGTGTTGTTGTTGCTGTTGTTGTTAAGTGCTGTTGAGTCAGTTCTGACCCATAGCGACCCTGTATGGGGTTTCCAAGGAGGAGATGGTGAGTTTGAACAACCAAACTCGTGGTTCAAACCGACTTTGCAGTCCAGCACATTAGCCTACAGGGCCACACCAGGACTCCTCCAGTTGAGTTGTTGTTGTTAAGTGCCATCAAGTTGATTCTGACCCATAGTGACCCTGTATAGGGGTTTCTGAGGAGCAGCTGGTGAGCTTGAGTAGTACAGTGAAAATAAGATCTTTACTTAGAGAATGTATTTATAAAAGATTATTAGAGTAAAGGTGATGAAAAGAAGTTCTGAACATTCCACTTCTTACCCCAAGCTACCTCTTGACACTTCTAAGGCATTAGTCAAAGCACTTTCTGTATTTGCTGAACAAATTGGTTTGGACAATCAGGTTGTGTCTGGAACTTAGAAGACGCAAAACTGATTTAAGTCACATTTTTACATAATAGCCCATGAATGACAGACCACACTTGTTTCTTTGTTTAAGCAGGCTTTCTAAGAATTTTGACTAAGCAACAGCTAAAATCGCTGAGTTAATTTTGCTAGTCTAATTTGACTTTGAACTTTAGAGTGAAAATTATTTCTTTACACATATTTATACAATATTTGATAATCCATCTTTTCCACTAATTTACAAGCTTTTCTATACCTAAAATGAAACCAAATTAGTGAAGTTCATATTATTGCTAGAAAAGTTTTTAGCCAACATGCTGATATAGAGAAAATATATTTATCCACTCTTAGTTTCATTACATTTGAAATGGTTTGTCCTCCATTTTTTCAGTTTTATTTCTGAAATAAGACTTTTGTAAATAATGTATGGTGTATAGTGATCCTATGTAGGGTTTCCGAGGCTGGAAATCTTTAGGGGAGCAGAATGCCTCCTCTTTTCCCTGCAGAGCATCCAATGGATTTGAACTGCTGACCTTGAGGTTAGCAGTCCAATGTGTACCCCACTATGCCACAGGGCTCCTTATAAATATGTTTTGTTGTTGTTAAGTGCCATCAAGTTGGTTCTGACTCATAGCAACCCTGTGTAGGGTTTCCAAAGAGGTATTGGTGGGTTTGAACCATTTACCTTGTGGTTAGCAATCCAGAGCTTATCCCACAGTGCCACATTTTGTTGTTGTTGTTGTTAAGTGCCGTCGAGTTGGTTCAACTCATAGTTATCCTGTGTAGGACTTCTGAGGAGTGGCTGGTGGGGTTGAACTGCCAACCTTGTAGTTCAAATTGACCTTGAGGTCGAGTGCTTATCCTACAGCCCCACACCTGTTGTTGTTGTTGTTGTTAAGTGCCGTCGAGTCGGTTCCGATCCATAGCGACCCTGAACAGGGTTTCCGAGGCTGTAAATCTTTACGGGAGCAGAACGCCTCATCTTTCTCCCGCGGAGCCGCTGGTAGTTTAGAACTGTTGGTCTTAAGGTTCGCAGCCCGATTCGTAACCACTACGCTACCAGAGCTCTACACCTATTCCTCCATAAATAATGCATGTTGTTATTGCTAAGCGCTCTCCAGTGGCTTCTGACTCATAGTGACCCTGCACAGGGTTTCTGAGGCTGTAAAGCTTTACGGGAGCAGAAAGCCTCATCTTTCTCCTGTGGAATAGCTGGTAGTTTCGAACTGCTGACCGTGAGATTAGCAGCCCAATTCGTAACCACTACGCTACCAGAGCTCCTTAAATAATGTATTGTTGTTGTTGTTAAGTGCCATCGAGTCCGTTCCGACCCATAGTGACCCTGTATAGGATTTCCAAGGAGCGACTGGTGAGCTTGAACCACCGACCTTGTAGTTCAAATGGCTTTGCAGTCTGGCGCATTAACACACAGTGCCACACCAGGACTCCGTATGTAAACGTTACATTGAAATTATTTTCTTTTATCTTCTTTAAAGAAATGCCTACTTAAATAATTAAATGTGAAAATAATTCATTTGTTTTCAAATCCATCACTACCAAGGGCAAGCTAATCTTTAGGTTATCTTAGGAAACTAATTTAGTTTTAGTTTAGTTTCGTTTTGCTTTTTAATTTCAAATGAACTAGGATACTTTTAGAATTCTGGTAAGGTGTTGTAGGATAAGCATTGGACTGTTAACCCAAATTAGTGATTCAAACCCACCAGCCACCCCTCAGAAACCTTATACAGAGTTGCAATGATTTGAAATTTACTCAATAGCACTTAACAGTAACAGAACAGCTTTGGATAATAACACAAATATTAATATTTTGATATAGTACAAAATATATAAGACATATATTTTGATATATAATGACTTAACATTAAGATATCTCAAGGGGCCTTATAATTAAGTCTATTTGAAAATAATCTAAAATAAAATTCATATATGTTTGCTAACCTTGCAAGATTATCAGCAATATATATATTAATGTATAATTTAAATTTTGAAGTATTGCTTAGTCTCTAAGGAAAAAACTACAGAAATAAAAAATTTTTGCTGTTAGCTGCCGTCAAGTCAGTTCCGACTCATAATGGTCCTGTATAGGGTTTCCTATACAGGAGTGGCTGGTGAGCTTGAACTGCCGACCTTACAGTTCAAATCAACATTGCCTTGCAGTCCAGTGCATTAACCCACAGTGCCACAACAGGACTCAAAGTTTTAAATTAAAAAAAAAAAAAATTAGTAGTAGTAGTATACTTTATTTAGAATAAATTAGGTCACTTAAATCTATCTACTGCATTTTGATTATAAATTTAAAAGGAAGATAATCTCATGAAGCCAATGATGATAATAAATAGAAACAGTGCCAATTTGGCAAAGAATGTTAATTTGTGAATAATTGGATATACTGGGAGATTGTCACACCAAACAACTCTGATTTATTAACAGGTTAGAAACATTCCATAATTCTAGTAAAACTTAGAAGTGCAAAGACTTTTTTCTCAGAGTCTCACTTTGCAACAACTAGACTTTCCTCAAAGTCTGACTTTGCAATGACTAGTCTTTATTAATATCATATTGTGAAAAAAATGACTGAAGGAAACCAAGCAAGAAGACAGTAAGGCTGGATGTTAAAACAACACAACTGGTAACTAAGTGACAAAGGCAAGTATTGCTTTACTTCACTTCTCTTCACAAACTTGATTTGTTTGGATAGAATTTGAGACAGATTATGATTTTAAAAAGGTACAATGGCTGTTAATAAAAAAGTTCGGCAGTTTGAAGCCATCAGCAGCTCTGTGTGTGGGGGGGGTGGGAATTGGCAGTTTGCTTCTGTAAACATTTACAACCTTGGAAACCCTATGGGGGCAGCTCTAATCTGCCTTATATAGTTACTGAGTCACAATAGCTAGACCCCAGTGGATTTGGTTTTGGTCTGATTTAACTACTCTAAAGAATCCAGGCACTAGAGAGAAACCAGAAGCATAGTAAAGTGAAGGTGAGGATATCAGTTTAGATTTAGATAGTGACTGCTTTCCCTAAAGTTTAGTGACCTTGGGCTAACTTTATAAGCCTGTTTCCGCCACTCATCTGTCAGTTTGTCTTACTGTGTGGCGTTGGTGTTGATACGCTACTAGAAGCTATGGTGTTTCAAATACCAGCAGGGCCATTCATGGTGGACAGGTTTCAATGGAGCTTCCAAACTAAAACAGACTAGGAAGAAAGACTAGGTGGCCCATTTCTGAGGGATTTGCCTCTGAAAACTTGGTGGATAGCAGCAGCACATAATCTGCCAGAAGATGAACCCCTCTGGCTGGAAGGTGAAATATAACTGGGAAGAGTTGCCTTAATGAAGTGGTCAAACAAAGATTTTAGGATCTTCATTTCCTGATGGAGCATGACTCAAAAATGAGAAGTACCAGCTGCAAACATCTATTAATAACCAGAATGTGGGATGTACGAAGTGTGAATCTAGGAAAATTGGAAGTCCTCAAAAATAAAGTGCAATGCATAAATGTTGATTTCCTCAGCATTAATGAGTTGAATTGGACAAGTATTGGCTAAAGTAAAGGAGTAGCTAAAACAAATGTAAGAAATGATGAAATAAAAGAGCTGAACAGGAAATTTCAAAGAGCAGCCTGATAAGACAAAGTAAAGTATTATAATGAAATGTGTTAAGACCTAGAGTCAGAAAACCAACAGAGAAGAACATGTTCTGCATTTCTCAAGGTAAAAGAACTGAAGAAAAAATTCAAGCCGCAATTTGAAATATTGATGGATTCCTGGTGTGCCACTGTAGGAAAAACACTGAACAGCTAGCCACAAGGTCAGTGGTTCAAAGCCACCAGATTCTTCTCGGAAACTATAAGGAGTCACTGTGAGTCAGAACTAACTCAGTGGCACTTAGCAACAATAACAACATGGAAAAAATAATAAATGATGCATGAAGCACCTAAAGAAAACGGAAGGAATACTCAGAGTCACTGAACCAAAAAAAAAAAAGAAAAAAGATACTGTTCAACCATTTAAGGAAATATCATCTGATCAAAAGCGGATGGTACTGAAGGAAAAAGTCCAAGCTGCACTGAAGGCATTGGAGAAGATTCCAGGAATTGAAGGAATACAAATTGAAATGTTTCAACAAACAGATGCAATGCTGGAAACATTCACTAGTTTATGCAAAGATATTTGGAAGGTAGCTACATGGCCAATCAACTGAAAGAGATCCACATTGTGCCCACTCCAAAGAAAGATGGCTAAATAAAATGTAGAAATTAATTATGAAGCAATATAATTACTATCACTTGTAAGTAAAATTTTTCTGAAGAAAATTCAAAAACAGTTATAGCAGTAGATCATCAGGGATCCACCAGAAATTCAAGTCAGATATAGAAGAGGACATGGAACAAGGAATGTCATTGTTGATGCCCAATGGATCTTGGCTAAAAGCAGAAGATACCAGAAAGATGTTTACTTATATTTTATTGACTGACTATGCAAAAGCATTCAAGTATGTGGATCATAACAAACCGTGGGTAACATTGCAAAGAATAGGAATTCCAGAACACCTAACTGTGCTCATGCAAACCTGTCCATAGACCAAGAGGCAGTTCTTCAAGTACAATAATGGGTTACTGCGTGGTTTAAACTCAGGAAAGTTGTGTGTCTGTACTGTCTCCTTTTGCCTTACTTATTCAATCTGTATGTGAGTAAATAATCTAAGAAGCTGGACTATATAAAGAAGAATGTAGCATCAGGATTGGAAGAAGGTTCATTAACAGACTGTGATATGCAGATAACAACCTTACTTGTTGAACATGAAAAGGACTTGAAACACTTGCTGATGAAGATCAAAGTCTACAGCCTTCAGTATGGATTACAGCTCAATGTAAAGAAAATTTTTATCTTCACAACTGGACCACTATACAACATCATGACAAATGGAGACAAGATTGAAAATATCAAGGATTTCATTTTATTTGAATCCACAATCAAAGCTCACAGAAGCAGCAGTCAAGAAATCAAATGACATCTTGCACTGAATAAATCTGCTACAAAAGACCTCCTTAAAGTGTTAAAGAGCAAAGATGTCACTTTGATGACTAAGGTGTCCCTGGTCCAAGCAGCACTATTTTCAATTGTCTCATATATATATGTGAAAACTGGACAATGAATAAGGCAGACCAAAGAAGAATTGATGTATTTGAATTATAGTGCTGGTGAATAACATTGAGAATACTGTGGACTGCCAGAAGAGCAAGCAAATCTGTCTTGGAAGGGGTACAGTTGGAATTACAATTGAATGTGTTATCAGGAGAGACCAGTCCCTAGAAAAAGACATCATGTTTCTTAAAATAGAGGTTCATAGAAAAAGAGGAGGTCCCCAAATGAGATGGATTGACACAGTAGCTGAAAAATGGGCTTAAAAATAACAATTTTGAGGATGGCACAAGACTGGGAAGTGTTTTGTTCTGTTGTACATAGGGCCATAATGAGTGGGAACGGACTCAATGGCACTTAGCAGCAACAACATCTATAAAATAGACCATAAAACTTTCATGGCAATGTGAGGATTACATGGATGACATTTGTAAAGAATTTGTCATTGTTAGGTACTTCTCTGCATAAAATGGAAATGGTTGATCTTTTTTTTTTAACTAAATAACTGAATTGACTTTAGATTTTGGTGGCATATGATATGATGTAAATAAAAAATCAGAAATTGTACAAAAACATACCCAGTTTGGAGTGATCTGTTAAATATAACAATCAAAGAAAGAATGGATAACATAAAGGCAAAGCAGAGCATTCCTGATAAAAGTCCAATGTTTTGTCTCTTGTTGTCTGAAATGAAAGAAAAAGAATTTAAAACAACAGTACACACCCATGAGATGCCAGAATCATTGTATTCTCTATTCTGCTCAAAGCAAAGGTCATTAATCTCACAGAAAAGGGGAAGAGAGGAACACAATTAACCTTTACCTGGGTCTGTGACTTTACTGCCCTTCTAAACTATAAGACTAAACCCCAGGAAACAACCTTTTGTTTGAGAAAGGTCTGCACATATCTGATACCAGTGGGTTTCCAGAAGTGCATCTCTGGCAGATGTGGTCAGCATTAGACATTACACATGCACATTCTGTTTAAACAGGTTTAGTTATAAAACTCATTTGGTTTGCTCAACACAGGTGAGAATTCCCAGGGGCTTGTCACCGTGTTTAAAACTGGCCACAGTCACCGCTATGGTTTGTTTGTTTTTTTAACCTTCTATACTAGACAAGCAGAATTTATGTACAGCTTGTTATCATTCTTCAAAATTTGTTGCTTATGATTTTTTTCTTCTGAAAAAGTATGTTCACTCTACTTAGAATAATATATGTAATAAGAAAGAAATAAAATTGCTATTCATCTTGCACTCATATTTTATTTTTAAGACATGGTTTTTGTGGGTTTTTTTGCAATTGAAGTTGAACTGACCACTTGAAATCTTTAATAACTATAATATATCCCACATGTATTACCTGCCAGGATCATTACATTTTTCTCTCTGCTACATGGAAATCCCTACTTTTCAAATATAGAATATAATTGAGATATGACATCACTTTGGTGTATGTTCCAGAGCCATACTGGAGATTTGCTTCTGTGATGTTTAATTTTACGTGTCAATATGGATAGACTACAGTTTGGAATAGTTCAACCAAACACCGATATAGTCGCTGTCATGGAAAAGTTATATGTTATTAAATTAGTTGGTCTTGGATAGAGAAGAATACCTTTTGTAATGTAATCACTTTTCATAACGTAATCTAAGCAGTCAATGTCATTTTGATGTTAGCTACCATCAAGTCAGTTCAACTCATAGTGACTCTATGCACAGCAGAATGAAGCATTGCTCCAGCCCTGTGCCATTTTCACAATTGCTGTCATGCTTGAGCCCATTGCTGCTGCCAAGGGGTCAATCCATCTTGTTGGGGATATTCCTCTTTTTCTCTAACCCTCCACTTTACCAAGCATAATGTCCTTCTCCACAGACTGGTCTAGCCATAAAATATGTCCACAATATGAGAGACAAAGCCTTAGCATCCTTCCCTCTAAGGAACATTCTGGCTATACCTCTTCCAACACAGACCTGATCCTCTGGCAGCCCATGGTATTATCAATATTCTCTTCCAAAATCATAACTCAAATGCCATTCTTCTATGGACTTCCTTATTCATTGTCCAATTTTCACATGCATATGTTGTTGTT